ACTAAGCTTGAGGAGTGCTATTTTATTAGTTACTCATTGTTGGTTTTCTCCTCAAAAATATGCTGTGAAGTTATTAGGAGAAAAACGGAGAAAGACAATCTACTGAGTTTTTGTGGTCTGGGCCAGAGAGTAACAGCTATGTTTTAAGACAGTTTGAACTCACCTAAACAAATAAATCTGCTTTCTAATTAGGGCTTCCTGTCTACATTAAGCAGCAGGAAGCTAACATATTTTCCTCTTTACTATACCTCAGCTGCAGTCTCACTGTATAAATCAAAAACTCTAGATCTTCAACCAAGATTTGGATCAATCTGCTATTTTCTTAAAATCAGTATCAGTTTATGTAGCCAGAAATCATTAGACAGTTGGCTCTGATAATGATTTCTCTCTTGCATCAATTTCAGACTGAATTTTAACTTATTTCATCCAAATTACACAACTTGATTTTCTTCAGGTTCTTGTAGATCCTCTGAATGGGAACTAAGGATCAAGAATCTGAGAAAATGTTTCTAATGAAAAAGAGAATGACATATGAATCCAATTTCCTTCTCTACAATGCTTGTTTCATTTTTAAAGTATCTTAGACAAGTACTTAAAAATCACATATTTTATACTTAAGCTTTGTTAAATTTCATATCGCAGGACATACAGGACAAATCAGCTCCAAATTAACATCAACATTTTAGAATCTAGTGCTTCTTACATCAGAAAAGCATGAATTCATTAACTGTTAGAAATACCAATCTCTGGTCTATTCTAAGAAAACTCATCCAATCATCATAGTCCATTGTAAACGCTGTCCACTGTAAAACACCTCAAGCTACTGGCCAAAATGATAACAATTCTGTATCAGCCTGCACCTTCAGGGTCAACACCAGGTCCTGCCATACTGCCTCGCAATCAGCAGCAACAGTACCAGAAAAAAATCAACTTCCTCTCACCACCCACTAAAATCAGCCCACAGTCTCTGCCTGCTTATCTACCAGATAGTCCTCCGCCAGCAACCAGTTGAGAACTGGTGACATTTGAGCTCTTCTGACCGCAGCCAGCTGAGGACAGCAGTGGCTGATGTACGCTACACATCACAGTATGAGACACAACACTCCTGAACTCATCTGCTTTATTCTTAGATGTGCAGTTCAGATGCATATTTATTTACTCGCATATATACTTAGGAAAAACAGAATGATTAATCATTGTAAAAACATCCAAATGGGGTCACTCAGTGGGTCCTGCAGAGAGCACTGAAAAGACCAAGGTGCTGATGGTATAACTTCATGAATCCACTGCTTCAGTGTGCAAAGCTCTACAGCCACGCTGATGCAGGTGAGAAAACACATTATGACTTGACATAACTGATCAACATGTAGATTCATTTCAACTTCAATAAGTAAAGAGCAGAAGAAAAATCAAAGAGCCATAATAAAACTTATGAGAGGAAAATGAAATAAAATTACTATCCTAAGAAGGTCAGAGGAGGACAAGAGACAGGCAAATAGGCAGAGAGACAGAGTGTGTTTTCCAGAGAGACAGACAGAGTTAGAGAGGCAGAATTAGAAAAAGAGAAGCCAGTTCAACAGTGAAACATCTGAACATGGGGAGGAAGCTGGGTTTGATCCAAGCAAAGACTGGAAGGCTCTAAGCAGTACCGAGCATAAGCCAGCACCCTCAGATGCTTCTCTGCTAGCTAAGGGAACAAAAAAATAAACAGTTCCCAAGGATCAGAGTGCGGGTAATATTTCAACTGGCATTAAGTCTTTGTTTAGTGTACCGTTTCTCTTGTCACGGCAATGTGGCAGTGAATTGCAAGGTTATGGTGAAGAAAAGGAGAAATACATCATGCTATGTGCAGCACATCAACTGGTGCCACACAATTTCCCCTTCTGCAACGTACTGTCTTGTAGGAGACTGTCTCACCGAACATATCCCATAGCTCAATAAGGAAGGAGGAAGAGCCTGCTTGGAGATTTCTTTGGGAGCAGATGGCTTTAAGGCAAAGGCCCAGGAAGGCTGCTCTGTCAGGGGTGGCTCTGGAGGAGAGACTCTCCTACAAGGAGGGGACAGCTTGCTGAAGAATCCAGCCAGCAGGCTCTGGTGGGTGACAGGACTGCCAGCAGTACCCAGCACTCTCCCCCGATGGTGAGGGGCCATCTAATCCCAATCCTGCTCAATTCTGTTAATGACCTTTCCCCAGCCTCCTCAGTAACACAAATCTGATTAGACATATTTGCAAACCTTTCTGCAGGCAACTGTGCACTGCTTAATCCTACACACTTACCTGCAGTTCTGAGCCAAACAATCATGGGCATGAACAAGTGAAACCTGGAATAGCTTTGCCGCTGCTCACAACTTGCCTACGAGTGCCGTCTGAATTAGCATTTTTATAATTTATATGCACAAGCTGAACAACATTTTTGGAAGGCTGACTCTAAGTTTACACAGGTATGACTCAGTTTACACAGCTATATCTGCACATAACTGACTTCAGCAACATTATCTTGACAGACTTTGCACCTAGTGCTTATAAACATCACTGTACAGAACTAGTAGTATAGTGTCCAGAAGGAATCAAGCCAATTTGGGTTCCAGTTACGGCACTTCTCTATCAGTGTTTCACTTTTTCTTTTCCTACTTACACTATTCCTTGGTATGTAGCATTCAAAATTTAATTCCAAAGGAACATTTATCACAAAATTCTTAAAAAAACACAACTATTTTTTGCATTAGGGTTTAAAGAATAACCAGAAGTCAATTTTTCAAGGATGTTTTTCTTCTTTCCCCAAATTATTTGATTCTCCTCTTCCTGCTTTGAAACATGCAACCGCACAAGTTTTGAAGTGGAGTGCTCTGATGAAGCCCAGTTCACGGTGGAGGAAAAGCTGGGTTTTCTTTTGCTGTGATGATATTGCCACTGCCATAAAAACACAAGTGCTTGAAATGCTGAGCCTATACTTAAACAGAGTAGTTCACTACCTTGTATTTCAGCTCTTCATAACTGTGATGCGAAGGCAGCTTTCACTGCCAGCTTGAGGCTAGTTACAGTGATTCATATAAGCTTAAATTGTATAAAATTCCTTTGCAGAGAGAAAAGTTCAGTTCACTATTCAACTCCTGTCCTAATTTGACTTCATAGCCAAACACAAACAAGTTATGCTGTAGCATCAGGAATAAGAACTGTAGTAGGAACAGGAAAGATTTACATCCTCTTTAAACTAGCTGTCCATTTAGGTTTTTGTGAAGCTAGCACATACTAAACCGAGTTCTCTCCTAAATCCTCCACTAAAATGAGCTCTTCAAGTGCATTTCTTTTTCACTATATTTCATTTCACAAATGAGGGCTAGGGGATACAGTTGATGGACTGTCTCACTGGAAGCTTCCTTCATTTAACTTTTATCCATTTATGTTTTAATAAAAAGCAGGCCAAGCTTGAGAGTTCTCTTACATGTTCTTGGTCCAACAGGCAATTGTTAAAAATCTTTTCTCTTTTGGAAGTCACAGTCTGCACAGAAAACTCAGTTTAGATGAGTTCTGTCCCCGTTAATTTCTCATTCAGCAATTATCTCCTCTCCTGATCTGAACAACTCTTCTTCCTGCGCTTCACTATATCATAAATCCAAATAGCTGAACTCACGCCCCATCTGAAACGTCATTTCATAAGAAAGAAATGCTGTGGTTACATCTTTGGTAAAATTAGATTCTGCTAATAGCTTAATTCACTTATCCATTTCTTTTATCCTTCCTCTCCCATGACTGTTAGATTTCTAAACTTTTCTTTTAGTTAAACTTCTGATGTAATTTATCAGATATTCTGGGGATCCTCAAATCTCCACAACTGTGTAGAAGCTGCTCAGCACTCTTGAAAATCATATCACAAAAATCACTGTTACACAATTTCATTTTCCATATGCCCATAACACTTCCTGCACAACTCCAGGGCTGGGCATTAATTTATTTTCCATGATAAAGTTAAGGGAATCAAACCCTTCTTCTCTAAGTACAACTGTTTCTCTTTCTTTGTCTCATGTAAATGAAACTATAGAAAAAAGGCATTCCTAAAAACATTTCGAGCACTAGCACTTGTACTGTATTTCCATCAGTCAACCCATGTACGAAGACGATAAAGCTTTAGGGCTCACAGGCTATGAGAGATAAAGAACACATTAACCCAAGACTCAGTCTATCAAGATTAGGACTCGTATCCACTTCATAACAAGCTCCCTGTGTTACTTACCATTTGGCCTGAAAAATATCTCCAAACTTGTGTCTACTTGTGTCTGGTATTTCCCCCCCCTTATTTTTTTTTTCAGAGCGTACGCACTGCCATGCCTCCTCTGCCAGATATTTTTCAGCCAAATTCAGAGATTTCTTTTTCCATTTTTTTAATGTTTTTCTGTCTTTTTTCTTTTTCTTCTTCTTTTAAGAAAATGCATTTCTATCACAAGAGCCAAGTGCAGTTCCAGAGACTTGATGAATAGGCCCAACGTATACACACATGGTTTGTGAGTTGGCCGTGTACCATCAGCCTCATTTATCAGTGTGGAAACTTGTAAAACAGTGAAGTGCATTGCTGCCCTAAGAATCCTGTTTCAATCCCTGGGATAAAATCTGCTCCTCTGTTTCTATAGTTCAGTCATTTACCAACAGACTCAGATTAGCATTTTCTATTTCCTTTTGTATTCCAGTCAGCTGTAGAGCTCTTCCCTTGAGAAATACCAAATTATCCACACATAACTGATTTCTTATGTTGATATCATTGGCAATGCTAAAGTAGAAAAAATAATTTAAGAACTGAAATGTTAACTGGAATCCAATAATTCTTATAAAACTGGAAAAATGAACAATTTGATCTACTCCCATACAGTTTAACAATGATAAAACAAACAAGATTGCTACAGAATGGCATTCAAACACAACATCATAATTTTCCACTCACTGTTTTTATGTGAATATCAATATAAAACCATCAGCTAATAGATAAATGAATAATTGGCAGCATTACCAGAGCAGACAAAGTCCTTCTTCTGAACCTCCGCCACTAGAAAACCCCGCAGGTTTACAGGTGCCAAGCAGAAGGTGAACTGCCCGATAGTGCGCCTCTGCCGCAGCCAGTCAGACAGCCAGGCCAGGTGGCAGTCGCAGTGCAGGAAGTTGGAGTGAAGCCGCCTACAAAAGACCAAACAGCACTAAAGTTATTAGCAGGTTTTTTAACCAAAGACAGAAACCAGAGCAATTAAGCACAAGCCTGTCTGGCTCTTCACCACAATTAAGTAGGACCGTTGCAGGTGATTGGTTACAGCTGAGTCAGGTCTTGACTGTCTACATTGCCGTGTAATATACAAATGTGCACATATAAATTACTGCTATTATCTATAATGTCTTGGAAGAATCAATTTAGATAATTACATGCCTACAGGTAATCATGAGCCGGCCCTTCTAGAGAAGAGAACATGCAGAATTTAAGATTCCTCCAAGTAATTAATCACTTTGCCTGTGATTTCATATCAGAAATAACTGCATGAATGTACCACCTTTGAGTGAATTCAAAGGATGGCTTGTATAAACACAAGGACCAGGCTGAAAAACAGGATGGTAGGTGATTCTTCCCTCTCCTCTCTCCTTTGAGGGGAGAGATCCCACACACCAGAGACTATTGATACTTTGTATGTTCCTGTGTTGCCTGTAGAAATTCACCAATACCCTTTTTACTGAGCAATTTAATGCAAGTATGCAGGTTCTGGACAGGAATTTTCAACTCATGTTGAAGAAGGGGACCACGACGTTGCCACGGCTGTTCTTTGGAGGGGAAGATCTAGCCACACAGCTCCCTTCCCAGCCTGCTCCATGCCTGCCACTAGAGACTTGCAGAAGCATCATCACATTGTGGGGGGAAGTCTGCAAGATGATGATGCACTCAGGGAGCAAATCTGGTAATTTTAATTGCTACCAAACTTTAGGTCAAAACAAAAGCCCAGGACATTAATTCTTTCACTCCTTGTAATGAGTCATACATTTTCAGTGTTATACCAAAGCTGAAACGATAAAACAGATTGAAAATCCTGTCAGAAATGCTTAGAAAAAGCATTATTCACTAATATTGCAGGCATTACATTTTAAAAAAACCCCACAACTGGTGTGCACAGAATTTAGCCTTGTCCATCCACCACAGAAATTAACTGTCTGTCTGTGAGATCTTCATATTGCACAGCAGCAGTGCTGGGCAGCAGTGGCGCCCGGGCTGACAGTCCCCAGATTTGTATGTCTGGGGTGGGCAGTCACAGTAAAAGACCACAAATCTGGAACTGGGAGTTTATCCTGTAGAGATGGAAGACGCTAGTCTCCTGGAAACACTGCAAAACCCAATTGTTTTAGAAGGATGGCTAGAAGACCTTGTTCTTAGGGATTATGAAGCTATTTAATTGACACTGCAGTAAGTTAGATTTCTCGTAAAATGTTTTGCTATTATGAACCATTAATCTGCCTGGAACACTTTTTGTTGATTGAAAGAACAAATAAATACATTTACATAGAAAAGAGAACAAATACCATCTAGCCAGAAATCATCCTAAGTAAGATTTTGTTCTAACTTAGAGAGTAAGCATTTAATTTAAATCCTTTAAAGTGCAATCCCTTCCCACCACAGCAGTCAACACTGATACTCAGAATCATCTTCCTTCAGGAACTGAAACAGAGCTCATCCCATGCCAATTTGTATAGCTGGTTTCTGGGTTTTCCCATTTTAGTAGTGCAAGCTGTCACCTCTTCGCCAGCTCACCTGCCTCAGCAGAGCTTTACCTTGTCATTTGTTCAAGTTTTTTGCGCAGATATTCTACAGTTGGCTTTTGAGAGGAGACCATTTGGAGAGCCTATCAAGCTTAACAAAGCTGCCTATTAGAATATACTTTTAATAATTATATTAATGAATACAGCCACAAAAAGACTTTTCACAGTACTTCAAAAGCCTAGTGCACCAATTCCCTGTGAACATGAAAAGCACCGATTTGGTACATTTTCAGTTTACCCTTAAATAAAAAAAAAATAAAACAAATTAGGCAATTACCTGTCTCAGCGGTCACTCACACATGCAGAGAACAGGACACTTGCCATTAAGCAAATAGGTATGGGGGACATGCTTTAACATAAATAAAGCTGTTTCAAGCAAAGGAAAGCAGATCAATAAAAACTAATTCCTGTCACTTCCAATCAAGGCTAAAAGATCAATGAAACTTAGCAACAGAAAATACAGTTAAATAAAAAAGGTTAGCACAGAAGAGCTGATTTTTTTAAAAAGAATTCTTCAAGTGCTTCAAATCTTACTAGCACATTTCTTTTTTTTTTGTTTCTTTCCCCCGAGAGGTCATGTTCAAGTTGAATATACTCTTTATTTTTCCTTCTCTGTTCTTCTTAAATGAGCAGGTTGTTTTGAGAGCCATGGAGAAAAAGCTATTTATCCATAGAACAATCACAGCAGATGCAGCTGCAGCTCCAGCACAAGCAGCCCCAAATGTCCTGCTAATGGATCTCACCAGTGTGCGAAAGAGACACAGAGGCAAAACGCTATCCACACCGCACTGGGCCTCAGCTGGATGGGAAAAGGGCTTCTCCCTACTTAAGTAACATTTAGACCAGAGAATCCCTACAAGAGCCTCTAAAAAAAAAAAGCATGTCTAAGTGTGAAGCTATTTGAGAAGGTGTACAAACTGATGATCATTTTTTAAGAAAACAGTAGAGTCGCCAAACTGCAATGAACACAGTTCATAATCCATTTGGATTGAATTTGCATCAACAACCAAGAGATGAAACAGTAGATCTTATTCAGCCATTACATCTCAGCTTTCTCCTTGCACGCAAACTGTCCACTGAGGTTATATATTAATGCAGGAGAAAAGGTTATCAAGTGAAATAAAGCTCAGGAAAGGAGGAAGAGTATTAACAGTTCTCCCTGAATAATATCTTTATATAAATATTTTACATAGGTGAACAAAAATGGATCAGTTTTCCACGTGCTCAGGTGTATGTTAGTTGTTAGGGTATTACTATCCATTTACACAAAAATCCATTAAATCAAAACAGTATTAGCCTAAATTCTGAACAGAAGATATTCAGAAAATATTGAGTAATATGTAGCTATGCAAACTTATTTTATTAATAATTATAATTAATAAAGTATTAATTGTGAAAAGTGCTAAGATGACGGGCATAGAGGAGGAAGGAGCAGCAGCAGAAATTATGAAATGCTATTTGATTCCTATATTTATCTTATATTAATTGCTATTTTGATGACTTACCTGCCTCTTTGGAAACAAATGGAAGGAAATACAGAATGCTAAACCATTTTACTGTATTTTCACCTGTCTGTGTAGGACTTTTTAATCCCTATATTGAACTGCTAAGAAGGGTACCGTGTGTTATTTGGCAGTCTTTGGAGACTGAAACATGCCACTTCATATTGATGAAACTACCTTTACAGAACACGAGGTGAATGAATACGAACGCAAGTTTGCAAAGGTGCCCTTTTAGCCATAGAGCCTAAATTAAATTTCCAGCAAATCCTTTTAGAGTGGGTCAGCGTTCGTGTTCTATAAAATGTGGCTCTCAGAATTCAATATAAAAGCTTCCCTTTATAAATCCTATTTATGACTTCCTTCCCTTTTTTTTTTTCTCCCCCTCCCCTAATTACAGCAGAGGGGGATTAGTCAGTGTAAGTCTCCAGGGAGCTATATACAAAGCCATCTCCGAAATTAAACTAAAAGGAAAATGGCAGAAGGCATTGAGCTCTGGTAACAGACATGCCTGACTAATCTGAGGAAGCCAGGCAAATTTTCTGGACCACTGTGACTGAATGAGAAGAGGCAAAACTCTAGGAAACTTAACCAACCCTACCTTCATCTTCTTTAGCCATTGTCCTCTAAAAGACAAACATCTAATTTCCATTTAATTACTTACATTAAAATCTATGAATGTCACCATTTAATGAAGAATGTAAATTTAAATCAGAGGTTATCTTACACAGATTGACAGGAGTAAGAGCCATTTTTCTTCAGTTCTGTTAACTTATTGAACAGGATTTTACACATGTATATATAGCATCTGTGAAGCATTTTATTTTTTCAGTGTCATAGAAAAATCTCAGGCTGGCTACTGTTGCCCTTTCTTTGCTTTTAGGCCTAAATACCTCCTGGTTGAGTTTGAGATTTTGGACGAAAAAACAGATAGACTTTGTTTAAACATGATTTTTCCTGAAGTTGTGTATTCCCTGAAGGAATTTAATGGAATAATTTATTTAAAGAAAATGTTTTTGGTGGGCTATGACTAAATTATACAAATGCACACAGTATAATTTCACAGTCTTTGCATTTTGGTCTACTAAGGCCAATCAGAGCTTTTTGAGTGGAATGTTGCCCAGCTATAGAAAACTGGATTTCACATAAAATAAGCTGCTATAAAAAATGCATCAGAATCAGTGACATTTTGTTTCAGGAAGTATCTGGAAGAGCTTTTCTCAAGTTCTTTAAAAATTTTCTTGTTTCAGAAATTAGTATTCTGAATTTGAAAAGAAGGAATAGGATTTAAACACAGGATGTTAACAAAATTAAATAATTTGATCCATCTGAGCCGTTTTCACAATTCTGATGATGCTTCAGTTTGGAACACATTTTCACATTACAGAATTTTACACAGGAAAAAATTTCCAGTTTCAGTTCCCAGGAAATTCAAAATCTTGCTAAAACCGAGTCTGACATAACCCTGGGTAAATCCAGTGAACTCCTCGTCAGGGCCCCACGGGCACCAGCCACCTTCGCAACCCTGCCCAGCCTCAGCAGCGGCTCTGGCGTCCTGCCCTGCCCAGGGACCCCAGCCCAGCCCGGGCTCTCCAGCCCCTGCCCCAGCCCCCCTGCCCGCCATGGGCCCCGCTGGAGCTCGTCCCCACCCGTGGGGGTCCCTGTGGGACAGGCCCAGCGCCAAGGCCCTGCCCTGCCCACCACGGCCACCACAGCCCGGAGCCGGCTTGTGCAGTGACCCTCTCCCTCAACGCAGCAGGGGGAACTGCTCACGTTGGGAAGAGACTGAAATAAGATTATCACAAGATGACAAACATCCAAAGAGCTGGCTTACAACATCATCATTATTATTATCAAAGATATTACTCACAGAGTCCTGATCTTTGGCATGTGATTGAAACTGGTAACAGGAATGCGGGTGATGTTGTTATTGTTGAGAGTACTGTTTGGAAGAAAAAAAAAAAAAGAGAAAAGAGAATAATAGATTGATCAATTATTTACATTTCTTCACCAACACACTATTTACAGAAACAAGCTGCTAAAATTCTTGGTAATACATCTGCCAGGCTGCAAGCAATAAGACACGCTGGCCCATACCTCAGACAATTTGTGACATATCATGAAAGATATCATTAGGGCAAAGAAACCAACAGCTGCGTAAGAATGGATGAAGGTTAGAATTTACCTTGTCCGAGTACCAACAAGTACAGGAGACGAGTTTTTATCGACTACTGGAAAAAACCCAGACTTTTTGGTTAAGCCACCACTTTGCTTGAAAACCCGGTCCAGCTCGAGTGGAGGAACAGCAAAATCACACGTGGCAAGATGAAAGCTTTGCACTTCAAGCTCTCACTTGCACACAAGAAGAGACCTGTTGACTCTCACAGGCTTGTTAACAGCTTACACGGACACACAACTCAAATCGGCCTTTTGAAAACAGACAGACAGATGGGTACCCTTTCTTTGGTCTCCTTATGAAAAAATATATGGGTAGTGTAACGGACAGTAATAAAACATGTCATGACCCAGGCACGTAAGGATTTCTGCTGCTCTACCAAAGCAGAGCTTAAAGAGAAAATGATCTCAGCTGCTGGTAGGAACCCCCTTAGCGCTTCTTATGAAAAATGAACTGACTCGATTATCATCAGCTCAGTGTGCTGCTCCCATTTATGTAGTTCCTAATTATATCAATGACTCTCTAGCAAATTAGAAGCTATAAAGTTTATCAAGATGGCACAGGAAATGGAAAGTGCTCCAACAGGGCATAATTGCCACGCTCCGAGCGCACCAAATCTGCAAATGAGTAGCCCAGTTTGTCATGAGAATTGATGGGGCTGGCGACGAGTCCATATCCCAGTGTGGCCGGTCCTGCTGCTGGCTGCAGCTGCCTATTTGAAACGTGGTGGACGCAGCACAGAGCAACCTCTGCTTTATGCAAGGGGCACGGCACTCCACAGGATCACTTTGGTAGAAGATAGTGCTTTTGAGCGTTTGTGTATGTGGGGCAGAAAATACCTGCTGAAACAACCTAAAGGCACATTACCCTTCCTTTAACTATTTAGTTGTTCCAGTGTTATGTATCTATATAGGACAATTAAGCAGAAGCTCTTGAAGAGTTTTACAGATGTTAACTAGCCCTCTTGGAGATGGCCAATTTGAAGACATTCTTATAATTCTGCCTAGAAACCCCTTGGCAAAACCATCATCTACAACATCAGCAGATGAAAGCTAAATTAGATTATACCCTATTAAGACTGGTTTTCTGGTACATAGGAGGGCACATACGTGTATTGGCAAAGCCAGGAGGTGACAGGGCTATGCTCAGGCACACCCAGGAGAGGTGTGTGCGTGGACTCTGACACAGGCAGCAGTGTGTTTGTGTTGCTGCTGCACTGCATCCCAGCAGGACAGAACATGACCACCGTGTTAGCAGGATCGTAGCTGGTATTTCAGCACAGCGCTGCACCAGATGGATGCACTATTGATCTGGAGCCAGCTTCGGGGCTGACATACCCATGACAGCAAACTGCACCACCTGAGCAAAACTATCTTTCCTTTCCAAATCCATGAGCAGAGTGAGTTATGTCAGTAAAAGCAAAGTTTTGGAAATCTGGAATCTGCATGTGAGATCTGTTGCCAAAGATCTGTGTCAGCCAAGTCACACACATTCACACACCAGGCTGATAAGAACTATAGGCCTTAGTGTATCATGGCTTATAGTATAACATATAGTATTCATTCCAGATCCTCTGAAAAACTTGATGCTGCCAAAAATTGGACAAAACCCACATAACTAAGTATCAGGATCAATGGGTATATAAAATTACGGGTTTGTATATTCAGTTTCTCAATATGCAAAGACTCCAATGCAGTCTACTATAAATTTACTGGCTAAGATGAAGAGGAAAATACTGTCAACTTCAGAAGTAAACCTGAAAGTAAGCTCTTACAGCTATCAGCTGTGTCATTTTGTCACCTGTACATCACAGTCTGCATATGCCACTACCTTACTGTGGCTTCCGCACTGGAAGTGAACACAGTGCGTATCAGTGTGCATCTGTAGGGCTGAAGAGCTCTGCCTTTGAATTCCTGCTAATGTCATGATGACACCACAAGTGACCCACTGTGGCACAGAACAAAGTGAACCTCTGTCTCACTATGTTGTTACTTCTTGATTACCTTCTTTAGGCAGTGATGCAAACCAAAGTCCTTTGTGGACAGTTTGTGAAAACAAGCATGTACAGTAAGTTCAGAAAGTGAACAAAACCTCTTATAAGAATGCATACATATATAAATCAACACACCCCTCAATATCTATATTTATTTGCTATTTGCATTTGCACATGCATGTTGGGAAGCTCAAATAGGGCTCACAAATGGAACTCCTAATTGCACCACCATTTTTATCTGTAACCATAAAAATATAATTCACCCGCTGCCCCAGTTGCCTGTTACTTACAAATGAGCTATGCGCTTGGTTGGAAGATTTTAGGTATACACTAATAAATCAAAGCCACATGTAAAGTCAGCTCACAAAAAGTAAATCACATACATAGCTGATGTCTGAAGAGGTCATACATGACACTGTAGGAGTCAATGGAAGCCACAGGAATTCAAGGGAGACTTTCTATTGATTTCAAAAGGACGTGGATTGGATTCAGGCAGAACAGGACGTGATAGCGGCTTCCTTCTGCGCTAACTGAGGGTAGAGAACACATCCCTGTCTCCCAGTGCAATTCTTCATCTGGATGTGGAAAGGTCAGCCTAAATTTACTGTCTGATTTGATGATTCAAAAATATTTTTAAATTTCTGGAAATATTTCTGCTTAACAGAAAAAGTATTATTCCAATGACACAGTTTTTCTACTCACAAAATATCAGATGAGAGTGGCTCAGGTTTTGCCCCTAGTAAGTAAAGGTTTACCATAATTCATCAACAAATATATAGCCCTCCTTCTAAGAATCCTAAATCAGTGCTGAATTAACACATTCCTTAAACACAAATTTCAGAGATAACTCCAGCAGATAGCGATTGCACAGATGACTTAGTAGCATACTATTTCATTGATATTTAAATGTTAACCATAATGAAGGCAATAAAACATCTATGATAACAGCAATTATTTCAGGACAAAGAAGGCCAAACACTGCAAAGGGCACTAATTGACAGTGAACTGTGTGCATTACAGCCCAGTTATAGCTGCAGGAATTTAACCCTGCTGCTCTGGTGGTGCAGAGCAGGCAGCTCCCGGCAGTAGGAAGTCTTTGGCTTTTGAATGGGGACATTTTCAGGTAGAGGTGTGCTCTAGAGGCATTCTGCAAAGCCTTCTGTCATGCACATGAAGCCTTCCCAGCAATGATTTTTAAGAATGTGTGTCCTGGCAGGGGTAAGCACACAATACAGTGGCATTTTTAACACATGAAGGGAAAAAAATAAATTCTGCCAGAGTCACCTGCTAGCTGCTCCGAGGCCCCAATCTCATTTTCATCCAGCTAAGATTCATATCCACAGAAACAGATGCACAAACACCTGGAAGCTATGAGAAACAGGTAACTTCCAGAATCTTCTGACTCCTCCAACATCATGTGGTGACACTTGTATTCTGCTGGGTCCTCCTCAGCCTTATACCTCCCACCTCTTCCAGAACCCGATACAACCTTGTCCCTTGAAAAAGCACTGTCCTCTGATTTAGAAGTCCTCTCCCTGTAAACTGTTCTCATCCAAAATGCTGAATCGGGAAACTGAAGTTATAGACAATATTATTTATGCCAGCAAACTTCCCACCTTGGGCCGTGATCCTTGTCAGATCTTGCAAGCTAAGCAGAAGCAGACTGCAGCAGTCCTAAGGGTCCTCCAAGGACTACTTGGAAGACACATAACGTGGGATCAGCAGTCTTTGAGGTGGTACATCCTCCACCGGTATGAACTGTCATAGTCCCATTGACTTCAATTTACAACCCCAGAGGAACTGTTCTACTAACTCACTTCTCTGCCAGTTGCCCAAACTGGTTAGAGGCACACATGGAGCTGCTTTCTTTCTTCTGAAGAGTAAAGCTGATTTATAGCTCCTACTATTTTTTTTTTATTATTAAAAAAAAGAATGCTCACTCTGAAATGCTGTCACGATTTGAAAACAATTACCTATCTCCTTCCTCAAACTTCTTGTGCAAATTTAACTACATGCAGTTGCATTTCTGTTCTCTTCTGACTTGCTCAAAATTGATGAACACCACTGCAGTTCCCTGACAAGGAGTTTTTAATTCCAGACTCAATGTAATTACATTAAGACCATTAACTTGTAGAAATGACAGTTGTATGTGGTTTTTTTAAATAATATTTATGCAATATTCTTTACTCCTTTCTCCACCCTCTTGAATAGGAATACAGGTGTTCAGGACTAGGTGAGAGTCAGAAAAAAAAAATTAAACTCCTAATGCTAGAAGAAGTTATACAACTTTTATGGAAGATACATTGGGGAAAAAAGGAGAGGATTTAAATTTTGAACCTACTAATAGAAGAAGTATTTTATTTTAAAAACCTGGGAACTCTTAAGCATCCTTTCATGTTCCTCGGACTAATTCAGAGAGCAGAAATCCCAGACCATCAGATCAATAGTCAAACACTCTCAATTCTGTAAATTACAGAGTGCACGGAGATTTTGTTTCTCTTACTTAGAATTCAGTTAATGATGTAATTAAAATCATGTAACGATTATCAGAATGCCTGGTGACTTATTAGTCTGAAATAATAATACTTTCAATACAATATATCTACCCGCTCTGTTCCAGTTAAGTACTAGACATACAGCAAAAGAATCTTCTGGCAATGATGTCAGAAAAAGTTAAACAACATAACAGAATTATCTGAAATATTAACTATTTAATTTCTTCAATTAGTACTTCAATAAGTACACTGCAAAATAGTAACTGTCTTAATGTTTT